TTTTTTTTATATATATATATATATATATATATATATATATATATATATATATATATATATATATGATGAGAATTATTGAAAAAAAGTTTGCTAATGAAGATTTAGAAATTGAGCTGACATCATATATTGATGATAAGCAAAATGTTTGGTTCCGAGGAAAGGATGTTGCTGAGATCCTCGGTTATAGTAATGTAAGAAAAGCTATCTGGATGCATGTTGATAGTGAGGATAAACAACAGGTATGTACTCCTCATGCCAGCGTACCCAAAATGTGTACGGTGGGTCCGAGTGGCAGTATTCGTACTTATATAAATGAATCTGGATTCTATTCCCTGGTATTGTCCTCTAAATTAGAAACTGCAAAAAAGTTCAATTACTGGGTAACTTCACAAGTCCTCCCATCTCTCCGTAAATATGGCCAATACAAACTATTTGATAGTCCCTGGAATAAAATGATCATGATTGGCAATGAAACTAGTCTACATTATCAAATTATTAAAGTTATTAGACGATTCTACCCACATGCTTTACTTCTACCAGGCCTTGGGGAATTGCAAGACACCAGTTCAAAACGTATTGATGCTTATCGTAAAGGCTATCAACGTGGACAAGCTAATATTGTTATTGGTAATAAGCATATTGCCTATCAAGGTTTCGCTATTGAACTTAAAAACCCTAATAATTATTATCAAGTTAGTGATGCTCAATTAAATATGGAAAAAATCTACAAACTTAATGGGTATAAATATCTTTGCTCAAATGATTACGATTTTATAATAAAAGAAATTCATGATTATATGACAGGTATTCGTCTGTCTTGTAATCATTGTAATAAAAAATTTAAACATCTTAATTCACTTAATAACCATCACAAATATTTTCATAAAATTACTGGTTAATCTTATAATGACCGTAAGCTAAGGAATTACATCCATCATCTAATATGTAACGTTTATCATCAAAACAACTTAGTGATATTTTATTCAGTTTATAACTGCCTATTTGATCTAATCGTATTCATCTTATGTAATAGTTGTTTACGATTAAATAAACAATCTTTATAATTCTCATGTGTTATCTCTTTTTTTATCACATATTTTCTGATTCCTTTCGCCGTCTTCTCATTTTTATTATTTTCTTTCACATATGAATACATCTTACGTCTTAGCCCAATAAATTCTTTAATTGGCATTCCCGCCGCTTCATCCTTAAATTTACCTATCACTTTTTTATTTTCAGAACTATAATATTGACTGTCTTTTGGGTAATCACTATTATCAAATAATTCTTTATCTTCCCAAAGCTCATTATAAATATCTTTTGTTTGGATCTCATAACATAGACTATCTGTATCTGTAAATAATAATTTCGCTTTATTCTCATATCTTCTTTTAATATAACTATAGTGAAATTCATACATTAGAGTCTTTGATAAATCTAAAATACACATTCCTACATAAGCTGGTCTATCAAGTTTTAATATTTCTTTTCGTTTATGAACTGCAACAAGATCTTCACTGAATATTTTAGTATTAACAAATGTCGGTTTGCTTGCCGATTTGGATAATTTCTTTTTATCAGTTACTAATCTGACATCGACACGTTTTCTGATATTTTCCATCGTTTTTCCAAATACTGAATTATTTAATAATTTGAAAAAGTCCTTCTCAAATGCATTCTTCGCATTCATCCTCTTTTCCGTGTTAAAATTTATATACTTCGCCAGCCAGGGTGATTGATCAAATTCTAATATTCGATGTACTTTCTTTAATTTTAAACCAAGGTATAAATATAATTGTAAATTTCGATAATGTAACACATAATTCTTTTTACTTGATAATGTTGGAATTAACTTTGAAACCTGACCAATACTTATACCAAACTGCTTCTGAATATCTTGACGATATGGTGATAGCATGTCTTTGCTAACTTTCATTTTTTCCGCAGCTAAAGGATAATCATTAGGTCTGTCATGTAAGTCTTTTGGATATTCTAAATCTACTTCTAATATCATACCTTTTTTGCGGTCTTCTCTACATACATTTATATTCAATTTTTGAATTTGTTTGTCAGTCATCCACCTAAAACCTCCTGTTGGTAAATATTGACTCGTCGCCCATCCATACAAGTTATTAGCATCTAAATACATGATATAATTGTTGGGTTCTTCTGGATTATAACCACTCATATATTTATTATTCGCTTTTCCATATCGATTAGCAATATATGAAATACCACCACGTAAGCCCTTTTCTATAAATTGAAACATATCAATATCTGTCATAAGCTCTAATTTTATACCAGTCATTTTCAACATTGCATCCCAACTTAAACCTGGAGATGTAAAATAATGACAAGGATCTAATGCATAATATTGATGACATGTTTTACGAAAATTCTCAAAAACATCCGCCAATAAAAGAATATCCGACTGCAAATATAAATCATGATAATCACCCATTGTTTTCATATGAAAAGTCTGCCAAACTTTTTGAGCATGTTTATATTGCTCATCAGATATATTTTCATCTGTTAGTAAACTATAAAATTCATCTTTTTCTGGCAGCTTTTGATCACTAAACTTCTGCCAACTATCCATATAATCATAAGGATATACACCTTTCTTTTTCATCAATTCTAATTTCTCATTTTGAAATACTTGACTTGTATATTTAAATGCATCACCTGGTAAATTATCAACCAATCTCTCCAGACTACTTGCCATAAATTGAAAACTATCCAAAAATACTAAATGTTTACCAAGCATAAAAGCCATATATTTTTCCATGTTATTTGGAATACAATTAATACTTAAATTATTACTTTTTCCAATTGATCCAATTTTTTGCATTATAAAATGAGAATCATATCCACGTAAATTATGAAATATAACTGGCACCTTTAATTTACTTGCATCTAACTTTAATTTCAAATTACATTCTTCATGTGCTGATCCTCTATATTTTCCAGTAATGTGACAAGGATCTCGAACTTTTATCTCATTATCTACATATTTATGACCACAAATATAACATCTATCAGATCCTTTGAATAATTCTTCCTCCTCTTCTGTCATTTTAAGTGGTTTTTGAAACTCTGTATTAATCATCTTTTGACAATATTCTACTTCTGAAAGCATATCCAACATAAAATAACTAATCGTATTCTCCCCTCGATAGATTTTTACTGGTTTTGAATATTTATCATCATAACAACATACCAATTTATAACCATAACCACAGCTTGTATGTTGTTGGTATTTATCAGTATGAGATTTGACACTATTTGGTTCACATCCAGATATTTTCTCTGTTATGGCTTCAAAATCCGCATATATCACAAATGGGGCTAGCATCTGTTTATGATGATTATTAAATTCAATTTTACCCCCTGGTTCCGGCATCTTAATCGCTTGTTGCCCATTTATTATCATACAATTACTCTTATGTTTCTCTAATATCTTATCTGCGCTAAAACACTGTAGACAAAACATACAAAAATGCTTGCGCTCCTTATGTTTAGTCTTATTATACATCATCTTATACACCGAATTCAAATATGGCGGGCCTCTCGGCCGGCCCGGGTCTAGTTGCGCGAACGCGAGGCTAGTGAGGCCTCAAGAGTTTTGTTTTGACTGCGCGTCTTAGCGATTGAGTCGATCGATATGGTTTGCTTCGAGTTATTACGTGCCTGAGAGCCACCGAAAAGAAAATTTTACTCTAGCTGGAATAGCCTCTACTTTCCTAAGATCTTTTCACAAAGAAAGTTAAGGATTCATGCGATTCGGCGCGGCGATGGGAAGCAGTTTACACCGAAAGTGTGCTCGCTTCACTTACTTTAGAAGAGATGACTTACGAAAGTATTTGAAAGAAATAATTTTCGAAAGAGATGGTGCTGTTCCAAGATGTTTGCACGGTCTGTTATTTATCCAACAAAAGGTAAACTTTCTCGAGAACGGGAGCATCCATTGTTGACTGTAAAATCTTTTAGATTTCACGATGAAAACAGCTGCATTAAAATATAACAATAGTGACGAGTGTGAATGCGACACAAGAATAACAATCGCCTGTTAATCCAACAAGCGTGGCCTGTGAAACTATGTAAGAACCAGAAGAAAGCGACATATTTCAAGAATAGTCCTTGATCAAAGTGCACTGAAAAAACTAACAGAGGAACCATTGGGAACTAAGAAAGTAAGAAGAAGGAAAAACGTTCTGGCAGAGAAAGAGTGTGCAAGTATTCGAGCATTGTATTTGACTTTGCGCGTGATCTATTTTAGCAACTTGTCAATTGATTTCGAGGTAAACTAAAAGCGATTATCCAAAAAATGCTTCTTTTATGGCACTGCTCAAACTCGTGAACACAGGATCGTGAAGACTGTGAAAACATTCGGCCTCGTTGTCTGTCGTTGTGTCTCTGAGAACTCCTAAAGATTGGTAAGTCGCGAAGGCGGATTCACTTGTTCTCGAAGATGTTTACCTTTCCTTGGTAAGAGAACGGACAAAGCAAACTTGAAACAGAACCATGAATCTCTCAGTTATTCGTCCATTCTAATAGTTTTGTGAGTCTTCTCTTCTGAAGTGAAGCTAGAACACTTTCCTTCTTTTAACTCCGTGATAGTAAAGTGCCTCCATTCGCCGCGCCGAATCGCTTGAATCCATTTCTTTCTTCGTAAAGAACCTTGGCAAAGCGAAGATAATCAACTTTCGTTTCTGCTTGAGTTAAATCTCCTCTTTGATGGCTCTTAAGCACGTATCAACTCGAAGCAAACCATATCGATCGACTCAATCGCCATGACGCGCAGTCAAACATAACTCTGGAGGCATCACTAGCCTCGCTTTCGCGCAGCTAGACCCGGGCCGACCGTGAGATCCGCCATATTTGCATTCGGTGTATTAAAATCCTTAATTAAGACATAATGTTGCTTCTCTCCCTTTGTAATAAGTAGCAGGTTTAATACTTTATCATTCATCTTTTTTGAAATATAAATTGGATAAAATTGCTCTTCCTCATAACCAAATACATTAATATTGATACTACTTTGCTTTTCTATTTTGCTGTAATGTTTCACATTAACTGGAAACTCAACTCCTTGGTAATTTAATTGTGGAACCATCTCTTTGTCAATTATCTTAACTCGTTGGGGATCTTTATTTTGTGGGTTTAGATATCGGATATGACACCAACGAAAACACTCATTATCCTTATTTTGAATATTAATTAACCCCTTTGCAGAGTTTCGCAATTCAACCGGTAGAGGAATATAAGAATTACCTTTCATCGGCTCATACACAACTGTATTTAAATAATGCTCATCAATGCTACTAATCGTCCATCCACTACCCTCAGATAACCAGGCACCAATTTGGTTCATTATTTGTTGTTGTGCTAATTCTAAGCTGGATGAAATATCATTTGGGTTCATCACAATCTGCGCTTGACTATTAAAATAGGCAGATTTATATATATATATATATATATAATCACTATCCTTCATCTTCATAAATGTAACTTTCAATGTCTCTATAAATTTAAAACCCTTTGTATCATTTAATATTTTATCAAATAATCTACTCATGGCGAATCTTGTATTTTGTAGCTGTACTAAATTATCTTTATTGTCCTTTATGCCAATCTCATAGGATTTAGTGAAACCCTTCAGAGCTTTATGTGTTTCAGTAATTTTCGTCCTTGGTAAAGCAACTGGTTGTTGTTTTTTTATTTTAGGAGGCGCAATTGGTTGATATAATGGAATAGGATTATTCTCAAAATAACGAATTAATTGCTTAACACCCATTTTTCGCGGAGCTGGGGTTGGAATTCGTTTTCGTGGAGTGGGAATAGGACGCCTTTTTTGTTCTCTTATTTTAACTAAACTTTCGAGCTCACTATCAGTCAACCCAGATAACAATCTTCTTAAAAGCTCATTACGACTAGTCTTCATACTATTACTATATATAATTTTTTTTTTCCGAACGCATCATAATATTAAATTTTAATAATTATTTCTTTAAACCTACTAATTATTTAAAATCGATCGCCCGAAATGCGGTCGTCAGCAAAAACCCCAAACCATATACTATGCGCCGGTACCCCCATGTCCTATACTACTATCTGATTTCAGTTTCTCTATGTGATCTCTAAATCTTTGCACTCTGGTATATAGTCTGGGAGCATCTGTAATTCAGTGGGCATTTTGTGAAAAAAGCAAGCCACCTATCTAGATGTGTTAAGGGGACTCTAAGGAACATAAAAAATGTTGTCGGCAATTTTGTAACTTGCACCGATGGCCACAAGGGTGCTTTTAAAATGTGACGTTTGTGTTCTAGCATGGAAACGAGGCTGGACCTTAAAGTACCTGAAAACCATCTTTAATGACAACAGATTGTTATCAGAATTACTCCTATAACACATAATAGTGTATCTGACTTGAAAACGTATTTGTTAACCAATTAATCTGGTCACATGACCACAATAGCATGGAAACGAGGCTTCACTTTAAAGTACTTGAAAACCATCTTCAATGACAACAGATTGCTAACAGAATTGCTCTTATAACACATAATAGTGTATCTGACTTGACAACGTATCTGTTAAGCAGTTAAACTGGTCACTTGACGGGCGATAGCATGGAAACGAGGCTTGAGCTTAAAACTCCGTTTAGCAACCACTAATAGCACGTAGTCAATACAAAAAAAAAAAACAACAACAACAACAAACACCTATTGAAGCGCCTTTTAGGTTATGTAGAACCGGCCAAGCTATTACAGAATCCTGGAAACGAAGCTGCATCATAAAAATTCCTTTAAGCTTTTTTAAAGATACGTTCCAATAGGCCATTTGTACGATGGCGTCATTTTACTACTACGACCAGAATTCTTTTCGTTTTTCCTTTCATATGTAAATTTGCTAGCCCCAGTGAGGTTTCAATAACAAAAGCCCTAATTTGCACAAGAAAGCAAAACCCCGAAGGATCCTGGTCATAGTAGTAAAATGACGCCGTCATGCAAATGGCCTATGACCTACACAAAACAATGGAAATGCGATTTTCTTACTAACAGGGCCAGACATTCATGACAAGATGTTCTAGTTATCACCCTCCTCCTCGAAGTCATCGTCATCAACATCATCATCATCGTTAGAGTTTTCGTAATCCCTGTCAGCAATGTTATCACAAAGCTCATCCCCACCATTAATGCAGCTGCAAAGATCACTGCCTTTACTGCCTGCCTTTTGAGACTGAGATCAATCTCTTTCGCACAGCCCAACCCAAAAAACGGCCATAAACATTTTAACGCACATTTTAAGTAAGGTAACCTAGCCGTTTTTTATTGAAATCCTTTTCATTTTCGTAGGTTACAGAAACGATAGGTTTTTTCCCATACAAATCTCATATTTGTATTTGGAATGTTACACAACAATGCCGATGCTCATATTTTGAGCTTGGGCTTCCTGTGTTATAACTTAGGTAACTTAAGGCATGACTGTCTAATTAAATATGAATATTTTGATATAATGCTATTTAGAACGGTCTGCTTCTATCAATGATCCCGAAAATTGAACTACAAATTTAGCTTAATGGCCTTAACAATATGAGACATTTTAGAAGCTCAAAGTTTCGTCAAGTGACTGATAATTGAGAATTAACGGTCAAAATATTTACTCTAAAACGGGAAAGGATAATGAAAGAACAACAAGTTCTTTTAGGTACATTTCAGAGGCTATTAAAAGGTTCTTAAATATTCGCCTTGTGTGTGTGTTTACGTTATATAGGCGTGGCGAAGCAATGTCACGTGTTATTTGAAATCACGTTCCACGTGATTTTTTTCGCTGAGCAACACTTTTTGTAGTTCACTTTTAGGTTCACTGATGGAAGCAAACCGTTATAAATAGCTTTAACAAAATATGCATATTTAGTTAGGTTGGGAAGCGCGGTTGATTACAAAGAAGAGCCATAGTCATGCCTCAAGTGGCCTGAGAACGCGCCTGTTACGTCACAGTTGTCCGTTCAAGGAGCAAAATATTACAATTTCGCACAAAGACAAGACCAGTGAAAGAAAGCAATTGGTGTGGACCTTCTAGTCTGGATCCTAGCCTATAAGCTGAGTCGGATCTACAATATTCCTTGAATCTAGCGGAGACGTGTTA